GTAATGGACAAGTTTGGGTACTCATAATTTTTTCATCCCAGGAGTAATATTCCCAGCTTGAACTTTATCTCTGAGCTCACCAAGGGAAACATGCTTGCCCTGGAATAGTTATTGCCATGCTTTTGTGTGCATTTGATTGCTTTTTAAAGAGCAGTCTCAGGAGAAGAAAATGCAGCAGTAAGTTAAGCACTTAGCAATCCTGGTTCTCTGACTAAATGCTGTGCTGTCATTAGGAATATTTATTTGTCTGGTTTTGCAAATGTAAAGAAAACGTTACCTCCTAATTCACCCACAAACAGGAAAATATGAATGATTGTGAGCTGATGTTCATAATGTTCAGTGTGATGCGATTTTTGCATTCAAGAAAAAAAATCAGCTTTGATGGAAGTACATCTGGCTCAGTGGCAAAGTGAAGGATATAATTAGAAACCCTGGAATAGGGGAAGGAAGGAGATGATACCATTCCCAGACATGAATTGTTCCTTGAACACAGAAGGATGTGGGTGCATAAAGCAGTGTTAGCATGGAAGAAGTCCTAGCTGTGGTATAGTTCCATCATTGGGTGAAGCACTGACAGGATCAATATTCCATGGTGCTTTCAAAAATCAGTTTAGTGTACCTCCTGTTGAGAGTTGGTGTACTTCCGTGTCTGCTGGTAGCTGAGTAAGATTTTACTCAAGTATCAGATGCTTTTAGAAGAGGAAGTTAGTATTTCCCATCCAGGAGCTTTTGGAGGAGCTTGCGGTTCTTTATTTTGAAGAAATACTGGTATCCTGGGGAATTGCTGGGAACAGGAAGCTTGCAAAAGGGCAGATGAGAGGGACCTGCTAATTGCTAACTGCCTGGATATCCAAATACAGGTGACTTTGGCTAATGAGGAAAATGATTAGCTCTAGCCAAGGTAGTTTACAGGAAAAAACCCAACTTGTAGGGCAGATTTGATTGACTCCTAAAGTCAATACAAGCGAGCAGTCTGTTAAATTCCTTCAGAGCAGGCATGTGAAGGCAGCTGCACTGTTTGCTTGGCTGGGCATGTTCAAAGGTGCAGCCATGTGCAAAGTCCTATTTAGTGTGAGAAATGGAAGCTGGGCCGGGGAGATCTGCCCTGCCCTTGCCTCCCTGGAACAGCTTCATGAGGGATGTAGCAGAAAAAGAAAATAGAACTCCAGGGTACATGCTAAGACCAGATGTGGATCAGATGCTACAAGTGCTGTGGGTTAGCTCAGTCCTTCAGCATGGCTTCCCAGGCTATTGCTAATGTCTTAAAAGGGTGTTGAAATGAAGGGAATGCAGATGAGATCAGGGAGTGTTGCAGAGCTTGGGAACACACCTCACGGGGTGACTCAGCCTGAGCTTATCAAAGTGTTTGGGATGTGTCTGTCTTCCACGAGTGGTGGAAACCCCAGGTTCTCTTTAATCTCACAAAGGGCTCGACCACTAAGCAGTCCTGGGAAGGAAAAACCAAACAGAGGTGAGACAAGCTTTCCCCAAGCTGCTGGGAGAACCCTTTCCAAGTCATGCCTTCTTCTCAAAGGCATCTTGGCAAGCAGTGCCAGGCTCTGTGCAGGGGTATCCAGATGAAAGGTAATGGGCTGTGCTGCGTGGGAAGCCAGAGTGAGTGATCTAACAGCCTTTCCAGTCTCTGCTGATTGTGAAGCTGTTCTTATAAAGACTTTAACTGGTGGCACTGGCCTCTGTCAAACAGGGTAAAATGGTCCTGCAGCTCTCCAAGGAGCCATCAGCCCGGCTGTTGAAACATGTTGTCCGCTGCTACCTTCGCCTTTCCGATAACCCCAGGTAAACATTTTAGGAGTTTGGGCAGGGGCTGCTTCTCCACTGGAAGCACAGTTCTTTTCCGCAGTGCCTCCTTGGTGGGAATCAAAGTTCCTGGTCTACCAGCCTTAGTTCAGTGTAGAAGATGGGTGGGTTTTTTGCTTTGATTTTTTTATTGCTAATCCCAGGACCATTTGTGGTACATGGGAGAAACAGAGACTGTTTGGGGCTTGTGCAAATTCAAGCTGTGCAGTTCACAACTGCCTGAGCTCAAATTTAGATTGAACAAGGTACAGGGGAGGGCCTGAGGTGGAAGGTATGCTATACTTTCCCTCTTCTGCATCAAACGAGCTGTTGTCAGTAGAAGCCAACAGATGAAATGCAGTTGAGAGAATATAAACTGATCTCCTGCTGACCAGCAGCTCTGCCCAAAGCTACTGGGTGTGCATTTGTTGCCTTGGCATCTCCTGGCATTTCATCACTTGACTGACAGGTGTCAGAGTGCAGGGGCTGGCTTTGTGGGGTTTAGCATGAGGAGTGGGAGCTGCACTAGCTGGCAGAGTGCCACGTGCTGCAGTGCTGCTGCTCAGTGCTGTTCGTGGCTGCTTCTGCCAGGGAGACCTCCAGGCAAAGGAACACTGTTCCCAGTGGGGTTTGCTCCCCCCTTGCCCCTGTGAGTTTATTTGTTGGGCCCCGTTTCTTGTCTCTTGATGTAGGGCACGTGAAGCTCTCAGGCAGTGCCTTCCTGACCAGCTGAAGGACACCACCTTCGCCCAGGTCCTGAAGGATGACACCACCACAAAGCGCTGGCTGGCTCAGCTCGTCAAGAACCTGCAAGAGGGTCAAGTCACTGACCCGCGGGGCATCCCTCTTCCTCCGCAATGACTGCTGGGGGAGGTGGGGAACTGGGGAAGAAACAGCTCAGGTTTACAAAGAACCAGAAACAGGTGACCTCTTCTGCAACAAACTGGGCTCGCCAGCTGGCTGCCAGCCTGTCGGACCATCCCACCCAGCCAAAGGGCTGCTCTGTAGCAGCACGCCTCCAGGGATCCCAACACCAGCAAATGCTGATACTACAGCTTAAAAAAAAAAAAAAAAACCACAACAAAGAAGGTCAATAAATACCATCTGTAGAGATCCCAGTCTCTCTGGGAGGCTTGGGTGGCATCCCTGCCCCCACCTCCAGGCAGGGGTAGTGCAGATGTCTGCTCTTCCAGCAAGCTCAGCCTCCGCCCGAGCGGTGCACAACTCCGGGTGTGCGCACCACATCCCTCCAATTCCTTGTCACTTCTTGTTTACACGTCTTGTTTAGATGCGTGAACTGAATAAAAGCTGATCCAGTTGTTTTATCCCCTCTTAATGCTACTACTCAGCTGCAGGTAGCCCCGGGACAGCTTTTTTCCCTGCCAGCACATCCTTGCTCCTGGCTCTGCATCCAGCTGGCGCAGTGAGCTTCTTTCTTCCTTTCCTTTGGCGTAGAGGCAGTGGCTGGAGCTGGGCTACTGCATGCTTGCCTCAAGAGGAGGGGTGGATTACGTGCCATGAATCCATGCATCATAAACTTGCTTCCCAGGGCTCTGGGGAAGGAGAAGACAGCAGGACTGTGGCTCTTGTGCTGTAAATAGTGCACTTCCGCAGCTGACCCAGTGGCCGGGGGCTGATGTGTGCTGGCCTCTCATCTAGTCCTGGGAGGCCTGATGGCTGGCTTGGCAAATGGAGCTCAGCGTGACCGCACCTGCCTTGAGGTGGTGGGCAGGCCACCGATTGATGATCCCCTGCCGCCTGCAGGCTCCAGGTATGCCGTGTCCCGCACTGCTGCTGCCCGCCAGGCGCCCCTCAGTCCTGCCCCCTCCTCTCTTCCCTTCCCTCCTGCTCCTCTGCTGCCAGTCGGGTGCATCCATTTCAGCTTTCAAACCCGCCTTGGCGTCTGCCTCGGCCCCAGCGCAATTAAACTGGACCAGCAGCCGCTTACCTGCCTTCCCTGTGCCAAGGGGTTAATGCAGCCGCAGAGGGCTCTCAGAAGCAGCCGCGGAGCTCCTGGGCTATGCTGCAGCAGAGCCTCCTCTGCCTGCTCCTGGCTGCAGGCAACCCTGGGCAGCTACTTAATTTCTCCCTCCTCCTCGAGTTGCCCATTTTGCTGATCATCTGCAGTGTCGTGCCAACAGTGTCTTAAATCCCATCGTTTCCCTTCTCTCCTCCCCTGGAAGCCTTGCATAACAAGGGCAGAGCACGGCCTCTTCCTTGCCCTCGGGTTCCTGTTTTATAACCATTGCCTTCTTTTCTCTCCTTTTCACCCTGACCTTGACAGAGTGTTAAAATGCTTCTGTTTGGTTGATTTTTTGTTTGTTTGTTTGTTTTTTTAAGTTCAGATGAATAAATAATAAAACCCCAGCCAGCACAGATTGCTTCTGGTCTGGTCTCTCAGGGAGGGCAAGTGATGAGCAGGGATTTATTGCAGGTGGGAGGAGGCGGGGGGGGGGAGATGTGCCAGCTGGGGGTTGTGAGTTGGGAAGAGTGACCTTTCCCAGTGAGAGCTGACTACATCCCCGTAGCACCCCATCTCTCTTGGAGGACGTAAGGAGGTAATGTGGAGAGTTGTAGGGAGGGGATTCTGTTTTGTTCTGCAGGAGGCCAGTGAACCTGCCCGGGAGAAAGCACTCGCTCCTTCCTGCAGCGTGTTTGCAAGTGCTGCCACTCACCCAGGGTCCACGTCTGTTGCAGCACTGCCTACCCGAAAGTTTAGTCTCTGCCCTGCACCCCTTTCCCTCAGCTCAACCCGTCCCGCCCCGCCCCAAGGCTGCCCCAGCTTGTATCCCCATGGGGATTTTTGCCCCGGGATGCTCAAACTACGCCTTGCTGTTTGAGTCCTGCATCCCTCCCAGCAGGAGGGTTCCGGGAGCGCCCGCGGACCATCGTGTCCTGGAAAGGACAGGGACAGAGTGAGGAATGCGCCGTGGAGGGGGAGATCGAGCTATGCTGGGTGCAAGAGGGTCTGTGAACGGACAGCCTGTGTCGGGGGGGGGAATGGGGGCTCGACCCCAGACGGCGGGCACTGCAGGGTGCTCCCACCCCTGCCGGCCACGCCACTGCCTTCTTTACCCGCCGCCCCCCCCGTCCGCCTCGGGAGCGGCATGACCTTAATCCGAAGCGACCTTGAGAGGCGGCGGCTGCGGGGCGTGCGGGGGCCGGGGGCGTCCCGCGGGGGCGGGGGCCGGGAGCAGACTCACCGCCCAGGCGCTGCCAAGGGGCGGGCAGCCCGGGCAGTCCCGGCACGGTGCGGCTGCCGGCGGTGAAGCACCGGCGGAGCGGAGCGGCACCGGAGAGCGGGTACGGGGTTGGGCGCCCGGTCCTCCGTGTGGGAACCGGGCATCCTGCGGAGGGAGGGGGCGGTGGGTACGGGGCTGCGACCCCCAGACTCTGGGACCTCCTGGCTCGGGCTGCGCTGCTCCAGAAACGGCTGCACGGTTGGGGTGGCGCGGGGCTGCAGGAGAAGCGCCAGCGGTTTTGTCTCCTTTGCCTTAAAGTGTGATTTGTCCCCCTGACTCCTGAATCCCCTGGGGTTTGCTGCCCCACCCCAGAGACCCTGGTCAATCCCCCCTCTCACCCCCTCTGACCCGTTAGCTGCCGGCTGGTCCCTCTGCGTCGGTCAGGCTCCGAGCCTCTGTGCTGCGGCGCGTCCCGGAGCGGGCGGGCTGAGCAAAGCCTCGGAACACGGGCAGTCTGTGGGCACACCGGGGCAGCAAGGTGTGGGGGGTGCCAAAGCGAGGGGGCATTCCTCCCTGCTCTAGCACAGCCAGTCCTATGGTGGCCAGGGGGACAATTTAATTCTGTCAGGGGACTCCGCACTGGAGTGGCCGAGACACGCTCAGACCCATTGTCCCTCCAGCTCCGCTACGGCCTGTCACCAGCAGGAGAAAAGCTGCGGTGGCTCAGCGTGTGATGGGGTAGCTGGGGCTGTTTCTGGCAGCAGGCAGCTGCCCTGCAGGAAACTCTCGGGTTGGGTTTCTCCGTACCCTGGCTCCCGTCCCGCTTGGCTCGATAGCGTAACTCAGACTGGGGCAAGGGGGCCTGCATGGGGCCAGGCTATGCCGGGCTTGGGGCATCCCTCACACAATGGGAGAGAGCAGAACAGTTGTGTCCTTGCATCCACATTCCTTATGCTGGAAGGGTTCATCACTTTGCTGCATGTGTGGGGAAGGCACTGCTCCCTGATTGGGACTGGGCATGCTTACACTGTGCCAGGAGCCTGGAAGGGATAAGAGGATAAAAGCAGTTTATCTCCAAACTCTCTGCATGGTTATGGGCCTGAGGGCTGCAAGCTGCTCTCTTGCATGCTGCCACCTTGCACTCGTGCATGTGCAAAGAGGACAGACTTGTTGGTGGCACCAAGCCCATCTCTGTTCCAGTCCAGCATCTCTCCCTGCTTCTCCAGCCTCAGTGCCTCTCCCTCCAACCCAGCTTCCCCAAAACATACCTCTCTCCCTCACCTGTTGCAGCACAGAGGCTGCAGGGCAGGTAGGCAGCTGGAGCTGAAGCCCTGCAAAGGTGGCTGTGCCGGGCTGGGTGCTGCCAGGAGACAGGAGGGTGCAGGCAGATGGGTGACCGAGGTTGTCCCCCTGGTTCCCTGCAGGCCATGGGGTGCAGAGGCTGAAAGCATGCTGGGGTAGGGCTGGATGTGGGGCACTCCTGGAGCTGTGCTAGCTAGTGTCAGGGCACCTATTCTGCAGGGCACAAGAGGACCATGATGCCAACCCCCCATTTGTGGGTGCAGGCACTCCAAGTCCTGGGTCAGTGCCCCCCGGCACATCGGATGGGGGGAAGGTGGGCACTGCAGCAAGTCCTTGCAGTCTAAGCCCTTCAAGAAGGGCCAGTGCTGGGCACACACAGCCCCAGCACTGGGCACTGCTGGGAGGCAGCTGGGATGGCACCCCAGCTGCTTCATGTCTCCAGCAACATCTGAGGTCCCCAAGAGTGTGGACAGACAGTCCCCATGTGCCCTGGTGACAGCCAAACAGCCACTGCCAGCCCCACGGCTAGTGTGTCCCCCAGGAGTGGGGCCTCAGCCCTGGCCAGCACAGTGCTGGGGATCTGCTCTGCTGTCCCCACACTGATCAGGGGATGGCTGCTGTCTGGCCCCGGAGCCCACAGGGATCTGGCAACTGGGCTTGGCAGCTGCCTGCAGACTGACGGCACCAGCTATTTCCAGCCCCACACCGCTAGTGCCTGTGCTGAGTCAGGGGCCTGGGCCACGGCTGCCACCCCTGCACCCTTGCACAGAGCCCTTGCCCTCAGGGACCCCTGGGTTCCCTCTTGCACCCAAATCCCAGCTCACTAGCTGCAGCATCCACTCCTCGAGGGCCCAACTCCAGCACCTGAGTGTCAGGCACATCCAGCAATTTGTCAGTCTAATTAAAGTATCAACAGCTTAATCAAAGCCTTATTGTCCCATGGTATTTATAGTTCCACTCACTGCAGTGCGCTCCGTGTACAGCTGTGGGTGCAGTCAGAGCCCAGGGTGCTGGTGTTCATGGGGAGAAGAGGCTGCAGGAGCTGAGGGTCATTCCTCTGTGCTCCCTTCCTTGCTATCACCTTTCCCTTACTTTCAAATCTGCTGGTTGGGGTCATGTCCTAGGTGGTGGGGGCTGTTCTTGGGCACCCCTAGAGCAATTTTTCCTGGCTCTAGAGGCCACTTCTTCCCTGGGAGCAGTGATCTGGGAGCAGTAGGGCTCTGGTACGTGCTGGGCTGTGGAGCATCTGTGCTCACAAGTTTTTCTGTTTTCCACCTACACCTTTTGAGCTCCAGCTTCCCGGTAACAGAGATTAATATTTCATGAGTATGGCGGGGTGAACCCGACACTCAAGGAAGGCAATGACCCAGCAGGAGACAGGCGCAGGTGCGCTCACACACGGGCAGGGGCAACACACACCTTGCACACATATGGGTACGGCTGGACCCCACTCGGCGGGACCTGGGCACAGTGTGGAGCACTGGCCCTGCTCCCCCCAGCCACCTTCTCTCTTCCCTCCTCAGCAGCTGTCAGCGTGGAGAAGGCAGAGCCATGGCATCGCTGCTGTGCAACGCCCGTGAGTGCTGCGGTGGAGGCGAGGTGCAGGGCAGGGCACTGGGCCATCCATGCTTATGCCAGGGCAAATCTGCCCTGTGCATTGAGCTGACCTTGCTATGTGCAGGAGCATACCTACCCCACCATGGCCATTGGGATTTGGGCTTGGCAATGCCAAGGGTGGATGGGAAGGATTACTGGGGAACTACCTTCTGCCCATCTTGTGGTGAAGGGAGGTTGTTTGGGGTCCATCCCTCCTCCCTCACAAATTGAGGGACCACGTGGGGTTCCAGAGGCAAGATGAAGCAAGATACCAGGGCACAGTGCCTGGATAGCCTCACTCTTAGTGATGCAGCCCATGCTGCCCCCAGGCATCCAACTCACAGACACGCTGGAGCAGATGCAGCAAGGGACCCTGATGCGCAAAGTCAAGTCCAAGAGCTGGAAGAAGCAGCGTTTCTTCAAGCTGCAGGATGACTGCATGACCATCTGGTACCAGTCCAAGAGGACAGGCAAAACTGAGTCTGCCTGTGAGTACTGGCTTCTGCATGTTGGCCACAGGGCCATTGATAGTGTTTGCAGGAATGTGAAGTTATGGAGATTCTTGAAGCCATGCTTGCTAAGAGTGCTGGGGCATTCAAGAAAGGCTATGCATGCATATATGGTCTCTTCTCACCCACACCTCTCCTTGAAACATCCTGCCTCTAGCAGAACTAATGGGTCAATAGGGATGAGTAGAAATTGCAGCTGATACAAGTGGAACCTCTGGAATGCCAGTGCAGGAGTAGGCAAACAGAGGGGCTGATGGATGAGTGGCTGACTGGATAGCTCAATGGTTAATGGATGGATGAGTAGCTCAGTGGGTGGATGAATGAACAGATGAGTGGAAGAAAGGACGGCTGGAAGAATAGATATCTGTGGGCAGTGCCCCTTGCCCTGTGGTCCTTGTCCCCCACAGACAGGCGTCCCCTTCCTCTGCCCCAGTCTCCATCAGCGATGTGGAGACGGTGCGGGAAGGGCACCAGTCGGAGGTGCTGCAGAGCCTGGCCGAGGAGTTCCCCCCTGAGCGCTGCTTCACCATTGTCTTCTACGGCCGTCGCGGCAACCTGGACCTCATCGCTGGCTCGGCTGAGGAGGCACAGTGCTGGGTCCAAGGCCTGCGTCAGCTCATCGAGGTGGCCACCACCATGGACCAAAGGGAGAAGATAGACCAATATCCTTCCTGCAAGCATCACTCTGCCTCCCCCACCCAGTCATTCCCCCACTGCAGATCATTCCCCAGGCCCTGCATCTCCAGCCTTGTCCCAGCACGTGTGTAGCTGTTCTGAGTCTCACCATCTGCATCAGTGCAGGGCATAGAAAAAGGAAAAGAGGACCTCTGATGCTCCCCAGCTCCATCTCTCACAGCCAAGGTCCTTTCCCTTAACATTTGCCCTGGTTTCTCTCACGTGGATTCGTGACTGGTTCCAAAAAGCTGACAAGAATAAGGATGGGCGCATGAACTTCAAGGAGGTACAGCATCTCCTCAAGATGATGAACGTGGACATGAATGAGGATCACGCCCTGCGCCTCTTCCAGGTAAACACTGCCCCCGAGAGCCTGGAGGGGCTGGAACAAGCTGCACAACACCTCCTTGCTAAAGGCTATGGTCACTTTCTTTTGTCCATCCATCCATCCATGCATCCATGCATCCATCCATCCATCCATCTGTCCATTTGTTCACCCAACTACCTGTTTACCTGCACAAACATGCACTTGTTCATTTTTCTGTTAAACCAACCAGACGAGGCAGCTCTTCCTCCCATTCATTTGTTCATCCAGCTGCTTATCTGTCTACCCAGCGAACCACCTGTCTGATTTTCTATTCCCTCCCTCCCTCCCTTCCACCTGTTTGTCCATGGACCCATGTATGGACCCATCCATGGACCCATCAGCCTATCAGTCCACCCAACCAGCCCTCCATCTCCCCATCCATCCATCCATTGATTGATGCCTGCCACTGCCACTGGTGTGGAGTCTGCCCTCTGTTTGGGAGTATCCCCCACAGTACCTCGGGTGGCCAAGACACCCCATTTTGCCCCATTTGGGTGCTGAGGGAGCTCCCTTGCAGGATGCTGATAAGTCAGAGTCCGGGACACTGGAAGGGGAGGAGTTTGTGCTCTTCTACAAGGCTCTCACGCAGCGTGAGGAGGTGCTGAGCCTCTTCCAGGAATTCTCTGAGGATGGAAAGAAGCTGACACTGCTGGAGCTGGTGGATTTCCTGCGGCAGGAGCAGCTAGAGGACGAGGGCACAGAGGAGATGGCCATGGAGCTCATTGACAAGTATGAACCATCGGAGACAGGTGAGAGCTGGCTCTGACATTGGCTGTGTTCTGCACAAGGGCAGGGAGAGGTCTGAGACTCACAGTCCCATGGCAGGAGCACTCCCAGCCCCATCCTGCTGCAGGAGGACACAGGGGGAAGACTCACCGTGGTGTGATCTGGGTGCAGTTCCACTTTATTTGGTCCATTCCTGGACCATTTTGGTGTAGATGGTTGACCAGCCATAGTGCAAACTCCAGCTTTGGGGTACACTGCCCAACTTTCCAAGGTTACTGCCCTGGATCATCTTTTCCTGTGACCCAGCCTCTGGCAGCAGCTGTGCTGACCAGGTTGGGGATTCCAGGAGCCACCAGCAGCCCCGTTTACCCCATCCTGTCTCTTCCATGTCCCTGGCTGTCACTGAGCCTCCCCCTCTGCCCTGCAGCCCGGGCTCTCCATGTGCTAAGTGCTGATGGGTTCCTCATGTACCTCTGCTCTCCGGAGGGCTCCATCTTCAACCCCCAGCACCGGGTGTTGTGGCAGGACATGAACCAGCCACTCTGCCACTACTTCATCTCCTCCTCCCACAACACCTACCTGATAGAGGATCAGCTGCGGGGCCAGAGCAGCATTGAGGGCTACATCAGGTAAAGGGGCTGCTCCCTTCTAGCTGCCCTCCAGCACCTTCCTGTCCCAGTGCTGTGCCCTGGGCAGCAAATATGGGGCAAACCCAGAAGCTCCTTTGCTCCTCTGTGGTCCACCTCTCCTCTGGCCATGCCATATAATGCTCAGCAAGGGGAATACTGAGCCCAGCTCTACCTGCCCTGCATGCAGCAGCATCCGCATCCTGGATGGGTGTCCCCTATGGTCCCTATAGTGGTGACACTCATGGGCAGAAGGGAGGGCAGGGGACTGGTGCCCTGGCCATGTGCGGGGTCCCAGGGGTGACAACCCACCCCCAGGGCTCTGAAACGGGGCTGCCGGTGCCTGGAGGTGGATTGCTGGGACGGGCCGAATGGGGAGCCCATGGTGTACCACGGCCACACCTTCACCTCCAAGATCCCCTTCCGGGAGGTGGTGAGCACCCTGGGGAAGTACGCCTTCAAGGTAAGGCACCCTTCCCCAGGTGCTGGGAGTTGTGGGTGGCCCTTGGTGTGAGCGGTGGTGTGGTTGTGATTGTCCCATGGGGTAATGATGGGTCCCTGGAGGGGGACGGGTGCTGTGGTTCACACAGCTGGTGATGCAGCAGGACTGTTCACTCTGCAGGAGAGGAGGGTGGGTGGCTGTGACACTTTCCAGGTGACAGCACCGGGGTGTCTGACTTACAGCCTGTGCTGTGCTGTGCCAGGGGATGGGGGCTCATGCAGACATGGGGCCTGTTGGGGGTGCAGGGGTGAGATGGGGCCTCAGAGATGTGGAAGCAAGATGGGATGTGGGGAGTAATAGGAGATGGGAGGGGTAAGAAGGTCTTGGGGCAGGAAACACGAAGATAAAGGAGCTCCATCTTGTCATTGGTGATGCTTGGAGAAAGCCCTTGTGAGAGCCCCCCAGCTCCACCAATGATGATCTCCAGCTGTGCACATTGCTCCCCAGGCCTCAGACTACCCGGTGATCCTGTCCCTGGAGAACCACTGCAGCATGGAGCAGCAGGAAGTCCTGGCACAGCAGCTCAAGGATATCCTGGGGGAACAGCTCCTCACCACCACCATTGATGGGCGCATCCCCAGCCATCTGCCATCCCCAGAGGTAGGGATAGAGCACATCTGTGCTGGGCTTCGCTGTCCTGCCTGGCAGTGGAGTGAGGAGGTGGTTCTGCTGTTCAGAGAACAGGCCACCTCTGTTCCAACATCATCCTGCTCCACGGGAGCACATGAGGACCCTGTGTTCACAGAGGTGCCAAAAGTGTCCCCAGAGTTGTTTCCCCATGCCCTGCAGAGTCAGACAGAAGGGCAGAACCCTCCTATCCCATTCCCTCCTGGGTGCCAAAGGGAGCTGGTGGTGCTGGCCCCCAGCAGTGCAGGATCTGAGGGAAAACAAGCCTCATGGGGAGCTGGGCACGCCCCCAAAGTGCCTCTCTATCCCCAACTCCACAGGAACTGAAGCACAAGATCCTGCTGAAGGGCAAGAAGATTGGGCGGCTGGAGGACATGCTGGATGGGCCAGGGGATGAGGTGCCCGATATGTCTGATGATGACAATGGGGCAGAGGCAGAGGAGGAGAGGCGGAGGGCAAAGGTGAGTGGCCTAAGCTGGGAGTGCTGAGCCGCTGGCCATGGCTTTGGGCTGTAGTGAAATTCTGATGCTTGGAGGAGAGATAGAGACTGCAGAGACATCAACAGGCAGGGGGAACAGTCTTTTCTGCCTCTGGCCATGCCAGCCACCTCTCTGCTGTGGTGGCACCATGTTGGGGGCCCCCTTGTTGCTCCTTTCCTGGCAGGAAGGCTGCTCATGGGTGGGGATACTGCCACCTCCCAGTACACCCCCAGCTGCTCTTGTCTGTCCTGGCTCTACAGCCCAGGCCTGGGTGAGTGCTGGATGATGCTCCCAGCACCCAACACAGCTCTGCCTTGCAGAAGGACAAGGAGACCCTGGCACAAGCGTTATCCGACTGTGTCATCTACTGCAAGAATGTGTCCTTCCGGGGTTTCCAAGAGGCCCACAGCCATTCTCGGCCCTCTGAGATCTCTTCCCTCTCTGAGGCCAAGGCCAGGAAGCTCATCCGGGATGCAGGTGAGACAAAGGGGGCAGTGGCACTGGGGGACTGGGATAGGGTGGAGGGGGCAAGTGGCTTCCTCAGGTGTAGAGCTAAAATTTCCAGACACCAGAGTTCCCTCCCTGTCTGGGGGAAAGGGGGTCCAGTTGGGCTGTACTGTGGGATTTGGCTCTGGTAAGTCATGGAGCAGAGTGGGAGGGGGGTATTGGCTAATTATTATTTCTAAGCCTATTGCCTTAGAAAACAAGGCAGGGCCTGGATTCCTGAGAGGGGAGAGGGATTAGAATTTGGTGGGTAGGTGGGTGGCTGGGTGGGTGGCTGGCTGGCTAGATAGATGAGGGGATGAGTGGTTAGATGGATAAAAGGATGAATGAAAGTATGAATGGATGAAGCGGATAAACAGGTGATGAATGGATGGAGAGATGGATGGGCAGCACATGTGGTGGATGGCTGTGCAGGCCAGAGAATGACCTCACGAGTAGCCCTCATGCTCTATCCCTAGGAAATGAGTTTGTCCGCCACAATGCCTGGCAGCTGACACGCATCTACCCCAGCGGGATGCGGACTGACTCCTCCAACTACAACCCCCAGGAGATGTGGAACGTGGGCTGCCAGATCGGTATGGCTGGGGGGCATAAGGGCTGTGGGCTGGGGAGATGCTGCAAGTCCCGTGCCAAATGCCACCATTAACACCTGTGTTAGTGCCAGCTACAACTCCAGCTGGAGCCAGGTCTGGCTGCCAGCTCTTGCTCTGCTCTGGGGAGCCTGGGGTTGTCCAGGCATTGGTGCCTTATGCCCCTGTGCAGTCTCGCATCTCTCTGGCTATGGGGACAGGATGGTTCTCGGCTCCAGGCAGGGCATGGTGTCTCCAAGCTACTCTGTACCCTCTTCCCTGCCACCTCCCCACAGTGGCCCTGAACTTCCAGACAGCTGGTATGGAGATGGACCTGTGTGATGGGCTCTTCAGCCAGAACGGACGCTGTGGCTACGTGCTCAAACCACCCTTCATGAGGGATGAGGAGACTCTGTTCAACCCCAGTGACCCCAGCAGCCGGGAGGGCCCTGGCCCCATCACCCTGACAATCCAGGTACAGGGCTGAGGACAGACCCCAGCGAAGCTGTGACAGTGTCCCAGGGCTCTGTCAGTCCCAGACAGATGGGGACTGTTGGGCAGTGTGCTGGAGCCGAGTAGCCTCACAACAGATTGGTTTGGCTGCTCCCCAGCTCATGGGGTCCATGCCCCTTCCTGCAGGTGATCAGCGGGCAGCAGCTGCCCAAAGTGGCCAACAGCAAGGACATCATCGACCCACTTGTGCGTGTGGAGATCCATGGCGTCCCTGCGGACCAGGCGCACCAGGAGACAAAGTACATTGAGAACAATGGTGAGCCCCACAGTGGCACCAGGGACCCTGCTGTGCCCAGGCACATTCCCCACCCTCCCTCACCCTCCCAGCACCCACTCTCCCTTCCTAGGGTTTAACCCCCGCTGGGATGAGACACTACAGTTCCAGCTCCATGTGCCTGAGCTGGCTCTGGTCCGCTTCGTGGTGGAGGACTATGACAAGACTTCCAGGAATGATTTCGTGGGCCAGTTCACCGTAGCCTTTGCCAACATCAAACCTGGTGAGTGGCTGCTGTCCAGTGATTTTGGGGGCCCAGCCCAGCCCTGTAAGTGTGTCTGGGGCTCAGCTGGGTGCTAGAGAGTGGGATGTGGTTGCAGTCAGCCAAAGCCTTGCTATACCCCCTGCAGGATACCGCCACATCCATCTCCTCTCCAAGGATGGCACCAGCATCCCACCCTCTTCGCTCTTTGTCCATATCCGCATCACCGAGCCACCTGGCCCTGAGCAGGACTGAGCTCATGGGGTGAGCAGCACCTGGATGGAAGCCATACAGACGGCCCTGAGTGGCTGGGGCCGCAGAGCCAACCACCTCGCCCTCTTGTTGAGCTGTTTTGTGTCAACCCTGTGTTGTTGCTGCTGTAATCCCCTTTGCAGTAGCCTCCGAGGACTGGGAAAAAGCACTGACCTGCCCTTTCCAGGTTCGGGATGCTGTCCCCCATGCCTGAGCACGAGGTCTATGTTGTGCAGCTCCCTGCATCCCCCTGGGCACCGTGCCCTGGCCTAAGGTCACAGCTTGGCCATGGGGAGGAGGAGAGATGGTGCATGGCCTGGCTCTGCTGCAGGGGCTGGTCCCCTCCCAGGCAGGGGAGCAAGGCTGGAGCCAAGCAAACCCCACTGGGCAGAGCTGAGAGAGGTGTTGATCCTCATTGCCCCCTGACCCTGCAGAGCCCCATTACAGCCTCTGACCCCTACAGCCCCAAATTAACCCTTACCCATCCCTTCTCAGTAAACAACCTAATAAATTGTTCAGTGACAGACAGGCTCAGGTTTGGGTGGTGCTGGGGAGAGACAGGGAGCTGGGCTTGTGCTTGTGCTCTTCCTCTGTTGGCACCCAGCCCACTGTTCATACAGGGTTCCAAACAGCCCCAAGAAACAGTATTAAAAGGAGCTGAGTGATTCCTTTTATACAGTCACATATTTTACAACCCATATACATATATGCCTATACACACACATACATCTCTGCAGCAGGCCTGTGCCCACCAGCACCTTAAAGCAGTCAGGACTCAGCCTCACTGAGATGTGCCATCCTTCTCCACAGGGCATCCTCCTTCCTGCTCTGTCCCAGGTGGCCCTTTGGCCTGAGTTTCCCTCTGCACAGCATGAAGGTGGACAGTGTGTGTGCTGGGGTCCTTTCCCACCCCCTGGCTTGGGTCAACAGACCCGTGCTCAGGGTGATGCCGCTGGATGTGTTTGATGACCTGAAACTTCTGCTTGGCCTTGTAGGGGCAGTAGCGGCAGAAGAAGGGGTGCTCGTTGGTGTGGGTCAGGTAGTGGTGGCGCAGGCCGGCCGCCCAGCGGAAAGCCCGCCCGCAGGCATTGCAGACATAGGGCTTCTCCTCACTGTGCTTCTTCAGGTGGGTCTTGAGGAGGAAGCGGGTCTTGAAGGCCTTGCCACACTGCTCACAGATGAAGGAACGGGCCTCCTGATGCCGTGTCTCCTTGTGCACCCGCAGGGCATCTGCACGGTTGGTGCAGTACTCGCACTCGTCGCAGCGGTATGGCTTCAGGCCTGTGGCGACAGGGAAAGGGATGGTACCGGAATGGGGACACAGTGCTCTCCATTCCATGGGTCTCACTCTCCCTGTAACACAGCATCAGTTCCCAGGGACTTTGCCCTACACCCCATTGTGTCAGCAGGCACACCAAGATGGCCCCCTTTCCAAGGCACCAAATAGTGATCGGGGTCTGCACTACCCCAACCCTGCACTTCCCTCCCACCTGAGGACACTGTCCCCAACCCACTGGCACAGGAGAATGTGCTGCCCTCCAAATGCTGGGAGGCCTCCCCTTCCTCCAGCTGGGCCACTGGTAGCAAAAGAAGCATGGAGCTGAGGTCCCTGCAGGCCCAACACCCTCCCTGGTGCTCGATGGCCTGTCCCCATTAGCAGCACTCACCCGTGTGCTTTGTCATGTGGTACTTGAGCTGGTTCACCCACTTGCACTTGTAGCCGCAGTCAGGGCAGAGATATTTCCGCTCCTCCTTGTGGATCCGCATGTGATACTGGGCACAGGGCAGGAGGGTGGGGTCAGGATGAGACCACATCCCCTGCCCTGGGAATGTGTAGGGCTCTGGGATGCCAGTGAAGGGCTCAAAGACAGCTCTGGCATCTCCAGCTGTATGGGGCAAGGAGGGCTGTGGGCTTGTCTGTCAGGCTATTGCCAAAGGTGATCCACAGCAGGATTGGGATGAGATGCCTGTACTGCTGAACTGCTCTGTTCCAGCCAGTGGATGGCACAGGCTTTGCTCCCCAGTTTGGTATTTAAGACAAAGTCTGAGTTAAAACCCAACTCAAGTGAGCTACCCCTGAGCTGAGTACATTGCACAACCTCACCTAGATGGCCCCAGGGGGTTCCAGCTCAGCCTGACCATTAAAAAGTCCGTATTTCTTTTAGCAAAATCAGACCATTTTCCCTCCATTACCCCATGCCTGGCCCTCCTGTTCTAGGGAAGGCCCTTTACCATGCATCAGGATGCTAATCATATATAGCAATGATGGCAGGGTCATGCTCTGCTTGCAAGAAAGCTGAGATTTCACTGCACCATGTCTAACTGGCATCAAAGAGCATGCTGAAGCCAGCAAGCAACCAAACTTGGGTTCCAGTGGTGCAAGGATCCAGCCGGAGAAAGACAGATGTCAGCAGGAAAAAGAGTAAACAAGGACAAGTGCCTGCCTTCTTGCTGTTACAAATCCCCCTTCTCCTTAAACTGCAACAGCAGGGAAGAAACATTTTTGTATACAAGATTTATCCACTTGCCTCTTACTATTGTGTGAGCCACTAAAGAGGACAGAAGATAAAATCTCCCCTTGGTAACTTCTTCCCCAAATCCCCATGTCTGGATACCCCTCTAGCCACATAGATACAGTAGGAAATATTTCCATTCAGAGCTCACCTTGAGACGTGAGGGGTCGGCGCAGGCATATTTACAGAGGTGGCACTTGTAGGGCTTCTCACCCGTGTGGATGCGGATGTGCCACGTGATCTTCTGCCTGTTCTTGGTGGTGTATTCACAGTCTGAGCACTTGTACACACGGGTGCCCCCGTGGCCCTTCATGTGCTGGTCAAAGACAAGCTGGTGGCGGCAGGCGAAGTCGCAGAAGGGGCAGTGCAGGGGTTTGTCCTGGGGGGCGGCCGGCTCGTGGCTCTCCATGTAATGCCGCACCAGCTGCTGCCGCTCCTTGGCTGCAAAGCTGCACAGCTCACAGCGGTGGCTGAAATGCTGCGTCTTGTGCTCCTCCAGTGCCTCCCGGCTGGCAAAAGTCTCCTTGCAGGTGCTGCACTCGAGGTGCGGGTGCTGCTTCTGCACGTGGCACTTGAGCGTGGCCTCGCTGTGACACACAAAGCCACAGCGTGGGCAGCCATAGGATGCCTTCTCCTCGTGCCGCCGCAGGACATGCTGCTTGAGGGCTGTCTCGGAGCTGAAGCGAGCCTCACAGCGGGAGCAGGCGAAGTTGAGCTCGCCGTGGTGGCAGCTGTTGACGTGGCGCGTGATGTCATTCTGCAGGTAGCTGCTGTAGTCGCAGAGCGGGCAGAAGTGGGTGGGTGTCTTCTCGTGCACCCGTAGGCGGTGGATGCGCAGCTTGGAGTTGGTGCCAAAGGTCTGGCTGCAGATGCCGCAGGCGATGCGCCCCACGCCGGTGTGCAGGGACTGGTGGGCCTCCAGGCGGTAGCGCCGCGTGGTGCTGAACTCGCAGTAGCGGCACTTGTGCGGCTTCACGCCCTCGTGCTTGATGCGGACGTGCTGCCGCAGGCAGCGGGCCTGCTTGCAGGTGAACTCGCACTGGCGGCACTGCAGCTGCGGCCGCTTGCTGTAGTGCTTGCGGTGCAGCTTGCGGTGCAGCCGCAGGGCTTTGGCCACCTTGGAAGTGAAAGGGCAGGAGGCGCAGCGGAACTCGCCCAGGGTCACGCAGCCCCTCTTCTTGTGCGTTTTCATGGCCCGTTCCTGGTGGCAGGTGAAAGGGCAAGTGGGGCAGGAGAAACGCCTCCTCTTGGGTGGGGTGGCTTTTGGGGGGCCCACATGCAGTGGGAGCTCACTGGGCTGGCCTGTCTCAACACTGGCTGGGTCCCCCTCGGGGAGCTCAGTGCTTTGGGATCTGTCCTCCTTGGGATGCATGTGCTTCTCAGCACAGTGGTTTTTGAGGGCCCGCTGGGAGCGGAAGGCCTCAGGACACAGGGAGCACCAGAACTGCTCCAGGTTCCGGCAGCCATCCTCCACGTGGGAGGTGATGGTGGAGACACGGGAGCACACGAAGGAGCAGGCGTTGCAGTGCAGCTTCCCTCCCTCCAGCCGGTATTTCTCTAAGGGTTTCCCAGGCTGGGATGGACCAGCAGCTCCACATGGCTCAGGCCCATTCCCTTGCTGGGGAGGCTCTTCTGCCACCTCTGTGCTGTCACCTGGCAAGGATTTCTCAGGGGCAAGACAGCCTGATGCCTGTTCTCCTGGCAAAGGACTGCCTTCTGTCTGTGTTTTATCAGGCAGCAGTTCAGCTTCCCAAGGGCTCTCAGCATGTCTGGACTCCTCTGAGGGCCCCTTCTCACTCTCCCCTGTTTCTGTACCATTATCACCAGGCTGGTCAGCAGATTGGCACAATCCAGGTGGCTCCTGGCTGGCTGGTCTGAGGATCTTGTTGTTCTTCAGGAGAACAGGGCACTTCTTGAGGAGGTGAGTGTTGAGCCCCCGTTGCTGCTTAAAGCTGGCGCCACACTCGTGGCACATGAGCGGGGCCCGGCGCCTCTGGCAGCTGGCTTTGGAGTGCAGGGACATGGACTTCTCCTTCCGTGTGATGTAAGAGCACTTCTCACACTTAAAGACCTGGCTCTCCGACTGCACCACCAGCATCTGCACCCTGCCCTCCAGCACCAGTGTCTCTGCCTGCTCCTTGTCCTGCTTCCTAAGAGCCTTCAGCACTGACTCTGAGCCACCCCTGGCATTGCCACTTGAAGCAACCACATCCTCGGGGACAGGTGGGTGGCCTTGCTCAGGTGTCTTCAGCACACCGAGCCAGGCCTCCGGCAGCTTGGCTTGGCTGGTCTCTCTCACCTCAGTGTCTGCCACCAGCTTGTGGTGGTCTGAGCATGACCTCGCAAGGTGGTCCATTGCCTGCCTTAGGGTATCTTCTCCCTGGCTGTCTCCTGCCACTCCACTGTGCTTCAGTCTCATCACATCATCTTCCTGTACATCTACCTCCTCTCCTTCAAAGTCTGGTATTTCTTCCAGTGTATTGCCACTGTTCTCCAAGACATCCCGGGAACCCAGCATCTCAAAGGCTGCGGGAGGCTCCTTGCAGGACAGCATTTCCACACTCTCTGGCTGTGTCACACAGGCTTCTCCAGTCAAGTGCTCCAGGAGAGGGTCAGATGAGACATTCAGTGCTTCCAAGTGCAAGGTGCAGCTCTCTGCCACATCCTCAGAAACAGTGAGCTCAGCTGAGTCTGTGGCAGTGTCTCCTTGCACACAGTCATCTCCCAAGACATTGCCAGCAGTCGGACAGCTGTGCTCCCCCTCGCTCACACCTCTCTCTGCCTCACCACTGCTCTCTTGTGGGGTGGGATCCTGCCCAAGGAGAGGCACCACAAACACTTGCTGGTAGCCCTCTTCTCCCTGGGACTCCAGCTGGGATGGCTTCGCCCTAGCCCACTGCTCCTTTCCAGCAAGGGGGGAATTGGCATCCACATGCAAGGCTGTGCTGAGCTCGTAGCTGAAGAGTGCCTCAGATGAGCTGATCTCCAGCTCCTTGCTGGCATAGTTTTCCAGCC